CCACATTATGCAAATATTTCCACATAGTGAGGTAGATATGTGGGGGCGTGTTAGAACGAGCCATTTTAGGGGGGCGTGGCAGAGTCTTAACTTTGATAAAGAATATCTCTTTGGTTTTGAGCATGGGCGTAGCTTGCCAGGGGGGCCTGGCCCCCCCATAGCGATTAAAGAATTTTACTAAATATTTATTTATAACGTTTTTTCTATGAAGTAAAAATGCATATAATGTACTTAATAATACATGTAAAAGTTAATACGTAAAAGTTAATACATTTTAAATTGTTATTGTAAGTAAATTAATAAATCAAAACAAACTTAACGTCTCCCTCAATCTCATTTGCGTAAGAATTGTCACGTGATGAATCTGCATTTTGGTGGATAATAGACTTAACGGTAATGCTTGCCTGTTGTGTGGAATAAAATGATGTTCCGCGTTTTTAACAACATACACGAACTGCAGAGAAATCTGGAGAATGAAAAACTCAGATGAAGATATTAATGCCGTGCTTGATGATTCCGACCCGGACAATCAGATAAAGGTGATCCACAGGACGCAGCCGGTTTAGCAGCACACTACTTTATTGGCGACCATTTACATCCAAATGTTATTTAATTTTCACAGAACACAACCTTTAAATAGATTTTAGAATATAAACTGTTTATCGTCTATTCAGTAAGACTAAATTAAAAAGTGTGCGCCTCATTGCGCATTAACTAGAATCAAGCCCAACAAATGTCTGTTTTAAAAACAGTGGATGAGTAATTCACTCCTTGATTTGCTTAATAAAAGCCTCCTTTAAGATCGTTTTGACAGACATGTTTATTGTGCATTTTAAATGTGTTTATTGCTAAGTTTAGTGTGGCAAAATAGAAGCGCAGCTGTAATTCATGGGCAATGTATGTGGTTACCATGACAACCTCACGAACTTGCCACTGCTCTATGTGAATGTGAATATGTAGATTTACTATAGCAAAACTAAAATGTGTTTAAAAGTACGTCTGACCAAATCCACCGGTTCGGTTTGGCCCCCCACAAGCTCAAACGTCAAGCTACGCCTATGGTTTTGAGACTTTAGTCTTTGCAACTTCAGGGATCTTATCTATGCACAATCAGCTTGTAACACTCCAAAGAGAAAGGAAAACTTGAAATCGCATCATATGACCCCTTTAATGGCTAATTTGGCTGCACGCCTGACGACGAAATTACATAACGTGAACTTGAAAGGACGTCAAAAGCACACGCTAGTTACGTAACATAGCCTATAGCAGGGTTCCTCAAATCTTGCCCTGGAGGTCCAATGCGCTGCAGAGTTTAGCTCCAACCCTGATCAAACTCAGCTACCTGTGATTTTTCTAATGATCCTGAAGACATTGATTAGCATGCTCGGGTGTGTTTGATTAGGGTTAGAGCTAAACTCT